AAGATAAAAGCTGGGCTGGAACTTTTAAGAAAATAAATAAAATATAATAAATAATTATCACATATATGATAAGAATATAATAAAAATATCTTAATTTTGTATTTTATAATAAATAACATACAATAATATATTACAATATTAAATTATTGTGTAAATATCATATGTTTTCTTATTAAAATTATAATAAAATACAATATATGATATTACAATGTATAATATGTGATATTACAGTATTATTGTAATTGGAACTATACGCTATAATTTTATTGTTTTATTTTATATATTCTGTATTCATTACATTATGTAATTTTACATAATAATATTACACAATACATTAGATGTATTAATTCCATAATTATAATAATATAATTATAGATTATATAAATTATTAATTTTATATATTTGTATTTATAAAATAACATAATATATACTATATAATAAAAAATAAAATAAAAATAATTAAAATACCAGAAAAACCCTTCTAAATGGTGCCATTTACTCCCATACATGTCCTGCCATCAAGGCATCCTCCAGCTTCAGCTGCCACTGGGAAGGGAGGGAGGGATGCATCATCTTGGAATCCTAGAACGAGTTGAATTGGAAGGGACCTTAAAGCCCATCTCGTGCCTGTCACGGGCAGGGATGTCACCAGATGGCCGGCTGGCTGGATGGCTGGATGGCTGGAGGGATTGTTGATCCCAGGTGTAGCCCCCAGCCCTGGAGCTGGACACTGGCCCTGCTGGCTCCTCCCAGGCAGGCTGTGAGCAATGGCCGGGCGGTGTTTGCCCAAGGAGAGGGTTCCTTGCAGGTGTGTCAGGACACGTGGGCTCCTCACCTACGTCATTGCCCCAGGATTTTTGTGGAACCAGAGCCCTCCTGGCATGTTGGCCTGGGCTGTTATCTGCTGATTAAGCCCTGGATATCTCCCCAGTTTCCCGTGGGTGCTGTTTGCTCTGCCTGCTGCAGGACTTTGGCTGCTCTTAGATCCTTCAGCGGCAGGAAACACGGACTCGGGTGCCCCCGAGCTGGCCTGGAGCAAATGGGAACGCCCTGGAATGGTCTTGGCTAATTTTTAGGAACTGGCTGGCTTATTGTTGCCCTCACAGGCTGCACAGGGGATGAGTTGAGCACCTTTTGGTGGCTTCAAAGCATTAATGGTGGGCAAAGGTGGGGTTTTGAGTGGAAAGTGAGTAGGTTTGCCATGTTTGCAACACGTGGGGCTGCTGGCACTGATGGGCCTTGCCAAATATCAGGAGGAGAAGGCAAAAAAAAATAGCAGGAGGGGAGCTGACAAGGACCTGATTGCTGTGGGTGACTGGGAGCCAGGGTTTGCATTCCAGCTGGATGCTCTGGTGACTTCACAGCACTGGTCCAGCGTGGATCAGGGATACAGGAGGGACGTGCTGGGGAGTTCCCCTGGATGCTCCAGCTCCACCTCCCCCTGACAATTTCTGCTGTCCCAGCACAGGATGCCCACTGAAGTTCATTCCCCCTAGACTCCAGGACCAGGAAAGCCCTGGGGGATCCATCCAATCTGAGGTGGGTCATCCCAGTCTTGGGGGGCACCTGATGCTGCTCCTGTGCACCCCACAAGGCATCCCCAGGCTGTGGGGGGAAACAGAGGCTCTGGTGGATCACCAAACCTCCCCACCTGCCTGATCTCTCACAGGGGGCTGGGCAGGCACCTGAGTTCAGGATGTCTGGGAATATTTGGGATGTGTTTGTGTAGGAAGCCCTGTTGTTGCCTTTCTTGGAAGTATTCAGAGCATCAATACCACTCCAGCCAAATTGTCCTTTACCCCATAGTTGCCTCCGTAAGTGTGGATCTGGATACAGAGGAAAAGCTGAATATGCTGCAAACCACCCCCAAAAGGTGCCTTTTCCCAGTCCCAGCCCTCTCTGGGACCCTGGAGAGCAGTGGGAGTCACCTTTGGTTGCCCAGGGACCTCGCTCTGCCCACTCCTGGCAGAGCACAGCCCCAGCTCCCCGCTCAGCCTTATCTCAGCACACCACAAATGCAAACAGCAGAGCTGCTGCAGGGCAAGCCATGAGCCTGCTGCGAGCCCTGGCAGGGCAGGGAGTGGCAGCTCAGCTCCTTGGGCTCTCCATTGCCTGTGGACACCTTCCAGCGGGGTCCAGCCTGGTCTCGTGCCCCACATCCTGCACACTTTGCCTGCTTCCTGCAGCCAGGAGGTGAGTTTGGCTTTATCTCCAAACCTGGGGGGTTGTAGGATAGGAAAGCAGCAAGTAGCTCCTTGGTTTGCATCAGAATGGCTGCACTAATTACCTGCTACGAATATCATCTATTCTTGCACAGGTTTTCCATCTGAAAGCGCTTTCCAAATGTGTCTGGTGCTAAATCCAGGAGGAAGTTGGCTTTGGAGCACAGGCACGTGCACTGACTTGACTGTAGCTGTTATTTCCTTGAGCAGATTCTGTAAAGACACAAAAATAAACCGGTGTGAGGTCAAGCAATGCTGTTTTTATGGCAGTCAGGGACTGCCATGGGGTTATTCCCAGAAATAGGGAGTCACCCAGCAGGAAGGGTGTAGACCCCTCTGGTTCTCAGGGGAAAGCTGCAGCACTGAGAATAGCCAAAAGGATGGAGGGCTCTGTTTTGAATCCCAAGGGATGCCCAGGAGCTGTGGGAATGAGGATCCAGAGGAGTTTGCCAGGGGACTCTGAGATGTGCAGCATTTGCCTGGGGTGCATAAAGTGTAATTTGTAATGCAGGACTCACTTGGGAGAACCTAAAACTGAAATCAGCTCTGAACTTGAGGGCTGAACAAACTGGTATTTAAAAAACACTCCTTTTGGCAAATGAGGACAAGTCTCAATCCCTGTTCGAGCTGCTCCCAAGTCTCTGGGGGACTGGTTGTGCCCCATGGGCTGTGCTGGGTGGGGGATCCCTTTGGCCACAGCGGGGACCCCAGTGTTGGTGGGGTTGGCATGTGCAGGGGGTAGGGCTGCCATGTGCAGGGGGTAGGGCTGCCAGCACCCCAGCAGGAGGATTTACTGCAAAATCCCACTGTATTCCCACTGCCTGTGTCCCAGGGACACCTCGGAGGAGTCACTGCACAGCACTGCTGCACACTGTGGTAATCTCCCTTGTAGTCTCATCCTGTACTTGAACGTGGAAATTGCCCCCCCCCCCCCCCCCAAAAAAAAAAAAAATCTCTTTCCAATATGGACCATCAAGCCAGCACAGCATCTGCGCATCCTGGGAAGCATCCCACTCCTCCCACTCACACCACTCCTCAGGGTGATCTATTTAATGGCCAGAATTTATTTGGAACACTGGGCTCTGCAGTGCTTTTAATGGAGCAGGGAAGTGAACATTTGATAACAGCAGCCTCCGGGTCAAATGTGCTGAGAATTCATAACTCGCCGCGGAGGGGTTTTGGAAAACCATTCAAGCAAAACAATCTCCTGGAACGAGCGGTTGAAGATTCGTGTTTCTCCTCACAAGGCACAGAGCAGGGATCTGCTGGAGTGGCTCCTTATTCTCTGCCCACAGTTTGCAAATAAAGTAGTTTAAATGTGAAGGACTGTCGGGAGCGTGGCTTTGCTGGGATGCTCCCACAGAGCATCTTGGGAGCCCTTGGATCTGTCAGCCATCCAAGAGGGAGTATTAATCCAGTAATGGGAATGTCCTGATGGTCCCAGTTCTAATGAGAGCAGAGCTGGGATTTTCTGCTTCAAGAGTGTGGCATCAAGATTTGAAAAGGAACAAAAGGAGGGAGCTCCAGTCCCGGGTCTGTGCTGGAGCAGCAGCAGGGATGGCTTACAAGGGCATGGAGTGACAGGACAAGGAAGGGCTTTAAATTGACAAGGGGCAGGGGTAGATGGGATATTAGGAAGAAATTTTTCCCTGTGACAGGGGTGAGGAACTGGAATGGAATTCCCAAAGAAGCTATGTCTGCCCCAGCCCTGGAAGTGTCCAAGGCCAGGTTGGATGGGGCTTGGAGCAACCTGGGCTAGTGGAAGTTGTCCCTGCCCATGCCAGGGGGTGGAGTGAGATGATCTTTAAGCTCCCTTCCAACCCAAACCATCCAGGGATTCAGAGCTGGGCTGAGGAAAAAAAAACCCAGAAGCCTGAAAATCTGGCCAAGGTGAGATTGGCGATGGAGCAGCCAGGGAGCAACTTTTTCTTTCTGTTTTCTTTTCCAAAGCCAGTTTGCACCACCTGTCTGAGGGAGAGGAAGGGAAGGAAAGCAGAGGGAAACATTGTCCTTTGAGCACTGTAGTTTATTTTAATTTCCTGCTGCTGGTGCTCCCCAGACCTCTGGAGCTGAGCAGGGTGACACAGCTGAGCATCACCAGGGCTGTGTTATCCAAGCCTTGGGAACACGGCAGATCCAATCCACAGGTATTTGCTCTCCATTCCCCGTCTTCAGCTCAAATTCCACACCTGCAGGAAGGCCCTGGGTGCTGCCCCTCCCAGCAGAATGCTGGGACAATGAGAGACAATGGGAATACAACAGGAAAAATTATCATAGAACTATATAGAAAGAGCAGATGATTTGGGCTAGAAGGGACATTAAAGCCTATCTCATTCCACCCCCTGCCATGGGCAGGGACACCTTCCACTAGCCCAGGTTGCTCCAAGCCCCATCCAACCTGGCCTTGGACTCTTCCAGGGATGGGGCAGCCACAGCTTCTTTGGGAATTCCATTCCAGTCCCTCACCACCCTCCTAGGGAACAATTGCTTCCCAATATCACATCTAAACCTGATCTTTTTTATTGCTACAAAAAAAAAAAAAAGAAAAAAAAAAAAAGCAGCATTCCCTCCTCTGCAGCCTGCTTTGGCCAGCAGATTGTACCCAGGGCCACACTGGTGCCTGGTGGCTCCAGCTTTGTCACCCACTTCACCCCCAGCACCTTCTCCCACGCTGTGCTGGGAATCTATGGGAATCTGGGACGTGATGGGAAACTCAGTGGGAAAGAACCAGATCTGCAGTGCAACATGGAAAGAAGCAACGATGACAACAGGCACCACTTTAATATTTCATATGACGAGATCCAGCTCTGAGAAGCGGCTCAGGAGCTGCTACAGCTTAGTGCTTGCAGGGGAATTTTCACAGGGTTCATTTTGCTCTGGACTTATCTGTATTCTGGAGGGTGACATGGAAATGCAGCTCATTAATTACCTGAACACACAGAACTCTGTTTCCTCCCATTCCCTTTAATCAGTCAAGTTTTGGACACTTCCAGGGGCCTCTTGGGTGCTGGGTTGTCATTCCAGGTGTCTCCCCTGTGGTGGACCCTGGCTGCTGATCCCAGGTGGCATTTCAGGAGGGAATTTCTTGTGTCTCCAGCCTGTCAAACAGTGGAGAGCAGATTCCATGCAGAAACTCCTGGTGCTGTGCAGGCTCGTGTTCTGGTAGGACCAGGAGTGAGGAGCTTGGTCTGGCTGATGGAGGCACGAGATGGGTCTCACCTAAAACCTGTCCCTTCTTTGTCCCTTTAGGTGAGTCCCAAAGCTCTCCTGGGACTGAGGTTCAGGAGAAGCAAAGCTGGTTTTCACCTGTGCATCAGTGTCCTGCCTCCAGAAATCCCTTTGCATGCTCCAGACGGTTTGGGTGTCTTCACCAGGGAGCTGGACTTTAAAGGAGTCTGAACATCACCACGGGGGCAGAAAAAGGAGATGGAGATGTAAATGTCTCAGAACTGTAATCCAGGTAGGTCTTGATTCCTTGCTTGTGTGAAACCTGTGGTTACACACAGCTGTGTAACCTGTCCTTACAGCTGCCTCTCCCTGGTCCTTCAGTAGGACCCCTCACATCCTTCAGGGCTGAAGTGTGAGCAGAAGGGCCAGACTGGGAAAAGGGCTTTGGTGCCTCCATGCTGATGTCTTAGCTTTGGCTGACACCCCCCCAGCTCTAATCATGACCTTCTCCCTGTGACTCTCACAGCCCTCTGGCCACCTAGTTCCACAGGCTCCCTGGGTATCTCCTGCTTCTGGACAAGCACGTGCTGGGATGATGCTGAAGTGCTTGGAAAACATTCCCTACTCCAACCTGCCTCAGGGATGGGCATGGCGGTCCTTGCCTTGGGTGAACCTTCTCACCTTGCTCTCCCTGGGCCCTTCTTCCCTCTCTGCCCGCCCAAAGAAGATGTAGCTGTGCCATGAGACACAGCTGCCTGTCCCCCCTCCAAGGCCTTTCCTTATTCCCCTTGCCTACCTGGGAATGAGGAGGTGGGACCCCAAAGCTTCATCCCACAGATGCAGACCCTGAGAGAGCTGGTCACCGGGCCTGTCACTATCCAAAGCCAGGTCCTACCATTTCCCAGTCCTGCTGAGCAATAACTGGCATCTCTTGCTGTTCCTTGTCTCTCCTCAGCATCCATGCCGGAGGCATGTCCCCAAACGCCCAGGGAAAGCAAGAATGCTGAGGAAAATCCAGATCTGCCTCTGTTTCTGCTTTGTCTCGGGCATCTTGTACGAGATCTCTCTGCTGTCCAGCTGCGTCTTCAACTACCTGCCCATGTCCCAGCACTACTTGACACCTGAGCAGGTCCTGAGCCTTGGGAAGAGCATCATTTTCCTGGAAACCACAGAGCGTCTGGAGCCACCCCCGCTGGTGTCCTGCTCTGTGGAATCTGCTGCCAGGGTTTACCAGGACAGGGCCGTCATCCTCTTCATGAAGGGACTCACCAACGAGACAGCCTTGGACCTGAACACCAGCTATGCAGCCTTCTCACTTCTGTCTTCCATAAAGAATGTCTTCATTTTCCCTCTCCAGATGGAAACTGTCTTCCAGGAGACCCCTCTGCTCCAGTGGTACAACCAGGTGAGTGTTGTAACAACGGGAAAACAGGAAAACAACCATAAATAGGGGTGGGAAAAGGCCTGAAGTTGAGTTAGAAGGAACGAGGAGCACTGGACTGGCTGTGTGAAATCAGTGGTTTCGTTTTTTGGCTGGGAATAGATTCATTTTGGTTGTGTTTTGCCATGTATTCATCAATCTGTTTATTGAACACATCACTGGCTAGGTTCAGTTTCCCCCTTATCTGGAGAATGAGATTTTTTTTTTTTGGCAAAGGAAACATGGATAGAAACAGATTTCATACATGTTTCGAGAAAACAGCTCCTAATAACCTTCCTCAGCAGAAGCTGGTCGAACAAAACGTGCTGCCTGAGCTCCTGTTAATGCTGCCACACACCGACACAACCTGCAGTAGATACCACGTGGGAGAGATTCCAGGTTTTATAGCAGCAATGTGCAAAGCCAAGGTGGGATCTCGGGAGCTCCACCCTGGAAGAAGTTCTGTCAAAGTGCTGGAAAGCAGCTTGTCTCAAATTTGTTGGGCAAGGCAAGCATATTTCCTAAAACTCCTTCTTCCCCCAAGAAGAAATGGCTCCAAATGCCAACAATGCCCATGAAGAGCCCAGTTCAAAGGGCTGGGAGTGCTCAGGGTGTTAAGTGGGTTGTGTCCCACTGGAACAGCAGCAGTGATTCATGGCAGCATTGGCTTAACACTGTAGGTCCCATCAAACCACCCTGGAAATGCTCCTGCTTTCCTTTGTGTTAACAAAGCTTTGCTCCTTATCTTATTCCAACAAAATCCAGGGACTGGAGGCAGCAGAGGTGGGCAGAGGCATTTGCAGGTGTGGTTTTACACCTGAAGGATGGATGAGATCTGTTCTCTGATCTCCTCGTCGCTGTCTCCCCTTCCCAACCCTGCAGGTGGTCCCGGAGCAGGAGAAGAACTGGGTGCACGTCAGCTCCGACGCCAGCAGACTGGCACTCATCTGGAAGTATGGAGGCATCTACATGGACACAGATGTCATCTCCATCAGGCCCATCCCCGAGCGCAGCTTCCTGGCGGCGCAGAAGTCGCGCTTCTCCAGCAACGGCATCTTCGGCTTCCCTGCCCACCACAAGTTCATCTGGGACTGCATGGAGAACTTTGTTCTCAAGTACAACGGCAACATCTGGGGCAACCAGGGCCCCTTTTTGATGACCAGGATGCTCAAGACCCTCTGCAATCTCACGGATTTCGAGGGCACCGAGGACCACAGCTGCCGGAACATCTCCTTCCTCAACCCCCAGCGCTTCTACCCCATCCCGTACCCAGCCTGGAGCAGGTACTACCAGGTGTGGGATGAAAGCCCCAGCTTCAACCACTCCTACGCCCTGCACCTGTGGAACTTCATGAACCACAACAGGAAGGCTGTGGTGGCCGGCAGCAACACCCTGGCCGAGAAGCTCTACAAGGCCTATTGCCCCACCACCTACGAGGACCTGATCCAGAATGCCAAGCAGAGGGACTTCATAGGCTCTGAGGATGATGTGTGACAGGGGGTAAGGAGGAGAGGGGTGATCCTCCCAGCCCTCCCCATGCTGGGGCCAAAACACAGTCACCACTGGTGTCCATGCCCTGCTTTGCAGGTGAAAGAGAGAACTTTTCATAACCACCCCCGCCCGTTCCCTTGGAATACTGAGGATGGTGGTGAGACGTTGCCTCCAGGGACACTAAGGACACCTTTGCCTCATTTCTGTTTCCTGAGAGGTGCTCATGAACCAAACCTTCCTTAATCAAAGGGATTTTGAGCCTTCTAGTGAGCTAAAAAGTTCCTAAAGAGATGTGTGGCCTCCTAGGAGGAATCTTCTCTCCATGCTATTGGCAGCTGCCACCTCAGAAAAGCTGGAAACACAACAGGCTTTGGACTGGGCTGAAGCCTCTGAGGCAAACAAGGGTGGGTGACAGAAATTTCTGCTGAAGAGAAGCCCAAACCACCACTTTTTCCCTGTGTTTTTCTCACATGAACTTTACCCCCTACGTTTTTGAGAGGGAAATTACTAGTGCAAGTGAAAACAAACAGGTTAATAAACCACCACTCCTCTGAGCTTGCTTTTCCCTGGAAAGTGAGTCACATTTTCCAAATGCTTGTGCTCCTGCACTTTGGCTTTTGCCACTGAGGGGCTGTGCTGCCCCTTCCTCCCAGGTCACTTTTGGCTGCAGAGCCACATGTGCCTTAGAAAGGAGATGCTGAGGCACCAAGGAAGGACAGGGATGGTCCTCCAGGGTTCCCAAATCCCTCTGTAACAAATGGAGTTCAACTGCCATGGGGTGGCCACCCACATGCAGCTGTGCAGAAATCCCCATTGAGTCCCACCAGGGCACACAGGGACTTCTTCTGCCGAAGAGCAAAGCTTCCCCTGGCAGTTCCTTTCTTTCCCAGGGTAATGCCAATCCACCCCATTCCCTAAAAAGAAGCCCAGCTTGCAAATCTCTCCTGAGTCTGTCTGAGCAGCTGTTTTTAACTCGGGAGCAGAAAGGCGGGGGCGGCTCCATCACCCTCATCCAATGTTTGCCATCTGCACAATGTTATCTCCTGTAAACACAGCAGCTAATGAGCCTCTGCAGCCAGGAATGCGGGATTTATCGGGAGAAGAGAGCCCTCTGCACACAAGGCTTCTGTGCAGTGCTCGGACACGGGGCTCCAGTCTCCTTCCAGCTCCGTGTTCCCCCAAAATCAGCCCGGCTGCACCAGTGGAAGGGCAGGTGGGGCCGAGCTGAGAGCTGAGTGGGGAAAAGCCTTGATTTAAAGGTGTGTGAGACACTGAGGGCACTTGGTGTGTTCAGCTGGACAAGAGGAGAGTGAGGGGAGACCTCACTGCAGTGCCAACTGCCTGTGCAGGGCCAGAGGAGGGGCAGGACTGAGCTCTGCTCTGGGGGGACCAGGAACAGCACCCAGGGAATGGCTGGAGCTGTGTCAGGGCAGGGCCAGGTTGGATCTCAGGAAAAGGTTCTTCCCCCAGAGGCTGGTGGGGCACTGAAAAGGCTCCCCAGGGCAGTGGGCACAGCACCAAGGCTGCCAGAGCTGCAGGAGGGTTTGGATGATCCTCTGGGGCACAGGGGGTGACTCCTGGGGCTGGGCCTGTGCAGGGCTGAGGGCTGGACTGGATGGTCCTTGTGGGTCCCTCCCAGCTCAGCAGATTTTGTGATTCCATGATTGTGTGTTTGGAGCAGCAACATGGCATGGAGGAATATTTTTCCATTCCCTTTCCTGGGGTGAAGCTCTCATGGCTCAGCCCTGGGGCCATGAGTTTCATGCTCTGGTTCCATCCATGCTGGTTGCCCCACACTCCATCACAGCTGGGTTTTCTGGCCTGTGGCATCAGGATCTGCTTTTCCTCCAGGACTTTGACTTTTCAGTGCTAAGGGGATGCATGGGAGGGTCACGGCCCAGAAAGTCCTCCCTGTTTCCCACACAGCTCCAGGCAGCCCCTGACTGTTCCCTCCTGCCTCTCACCCCCTACACTCATCTCTCTGCTTCCACCCTCGTCCCTTCTCTCCAGTTTATACCTCAGCCTCTGGAAACAAGTGAGTATTTGCCTCTTCTGCCCATGACTCGACTCTCCAGGCTCCCCTGTGTCCACGAGGGGAGGGCCAGGGCTGGGGTACTAGCATAGACTTCCCTGCTCAAGATGAGCTCAGGTAAGAAGCATTTCCGAGGCTCTGCTGTGGCCCCTCCCCAGGGGAGTCCAACCCCATCCCATTTCTCTCTCCTCCCTGACAGGAGAGGAGGGATCCTGTCAGGGCTCGGAGCATAGCAGGACTGATGGCAGCAAGCACAGCCAACCTCCCTGAAGGTCTCACATGGGGGGTGTCCTGCTCCCACCTGCTGTGAGTCCCAGGAGGAGAAGCTGAGAAAGAGGGGGAGGTGCTGGGTGCTTTTGGGAAGGGTCTGGAGGAGGTGGGGAAGCAGCTCATGCACAGCCTGGGTCTCCTGAACCCTCTGTGCTTCGTAGTAAAGCGTCTCCCGAAGTTTTCCAGCTTCCAGATGGGCAGGGAACAGAGGGATTGTTGCCCCTGGGGCAATCCCTTGCAGAGGACAACCCGAAAACTAGGAGATGGGACGGCAAACACAGTGTCTTCCAGCATGGAAAATGAAATCTCATCACACTTCCTGAGAGCCAGGAATACTAGCACTGTGGTGGAGCAGGAATTCACATAGTGCAGTAGGAATGGCGCAGGTGACCCCCTCCAGCTACAAGATGTGCTGGGGGGTTCCAGCTGATACCTCTGAGATGGGCCTTCCAACAGAATCACAGAATGCCTTGGGTTGGAAAGGAGCTTTAAAGGTCATTTAGATCAGCACATTATTAGGGGATTTTTAATTTGAGGTCCCTGCAAACCCTTCCCCTTTAGGAGTGGTTAATTCATGCCAGAAATCCTCACCTGCATGGACCACACCAGGTCTGTGCAACACACAGCTCTGGGTCAGGGCTGCATTTCCACCTGGATGGGCTGATCCCCCAGCGTGAGCAGCAGAGCAGGGGGGGATTGTGCCCCTCTGCCCCCTCATGGGAGATTGCCTTGCAGAGCTGCCCCCAGCCCTGGGGAACAGCACAGCAAGGACATGGAGCTGCTGGAGAGAGTCCAGAGGAGGCCCCAAGACGGAAGGGGGAGCAGCTCTGCTGGGAGGAAAGGTGAGAGAGTTGGGGTTGATCAGCCTGGAGAGAAGCTTTGGGGTGACCTGATTGTGACTCCCTAGTGCAGACAGGAAAGAGAAAAGCCCTAAAACAGAGGGGGGCTGTTGGCAAATACCCAAGGGGTACATAGTGACCCCAGCCATGAGGGCTGTTTGCCCTCTGACATCCTCAGCCAGTGGCTTTGACAGGTGAGGGGTTGTTCTCCAAGGGCTGGTGCCAGAGCTGTGCCAGCCTCGGATCCCTGACAGGACAGAGCAGTCCGTGCCTGCCATGGGGTAAAACAAAGATGGATCAGGGCTTGCTTTCGCTCTGGGGCCTCAGCTCCTTCTTGAGCATCACAGGCTTCGTTCTTCCTGCAGGGTGACCAAAGTGGTGGCTGATGGAGATCCATCAGGTGGGCCCTGGAGTTGGGACCATCCCTATCCCGAGAGCACTGGGATGAAGCTGCAGTTTGGCTTGGGGTGTCGTGTGGTGAGGAAGGGAGGGGTGCTGGGGGCACAGGGGGGAGGGGATGAGCTCAGTGATCCCCTTTCAGTGCAGCTCCATGACCAGCCCTGCTGACAGCCCTTCTCCTGGGAAAGCTGTTCCAGGTGGCTGCTGGGCTGTGGGTGGGATTTGGGGTAAACTGTAGGCAGAGATTAATCAGATTACAGGAGGAAGCTGCTGCTTTGCAGAGGTCCCACCAGCCCCTCCCAGTCCTCACTGCACTGGTACCAGCACCACCTTGACTCCAGCCAGGAGGCTCCCCCAGGGGGGAAGCAGAGGCTGCTGAAGGCCCTGCAGGGAACGCCAAACCTCCTGAAGCAGTTTTGTGTCATCCTGGAGGACGTGCTGCAGGAAAAGTTGGAAAAGAAGGAGGTCAAGAGGGTGAGTCTGTCCTTCAGTGCCACCCCTGAGCTGCTGCAGGGCCACAGAAACTGTTCTGAACTGATTCTTTTAATTTTTTTCTTTTTTTTTTTTGGTGGGAGGAGCAACCAAAACACGAAGAGGCAGTAAAAATACACCCATGTGGAGTAATCCCACCTCTGAGAGGAAAATGGGGATGGCAGAGGCAGAATGACCCAGGGATAAACCCCCTGCTCCCACCTCCAAGCCTGGGTATTTGTATTTCTCCAGCACATCTTCCTGCGAGCGGCCTTTCCCAGGCTAAATCACCCTCCTTCGAGGGCAGGAGGGTGTTGGAGGGCGCAGCAGCCCCTGGGCCGGGGCTTTCAAGGGACCTTGCGCTGTGCAAGCCCCTTTTCGTGCCGAGCGAACCAAACGGTGCAGCCTGCCAGCATTCCCGAGCTCCTGGCGATGCAACAACACCCCCTGGCACCCGGCAGAGCTGCTGCAGGGGCACTGAGCAGGGAACGCCTCCATCCTTCCCCGCTCCACAGCACGGCAGAGTTCCCGGTTTGGGTCTCGAAAGCACGAGGAAAAAGCAGTGACTCGATTTTTTACATGAATGTTTCCTGGAGATGCTTTTAAGGAGCATTCCTAGGTTTTTTCCATGGAGGCTGGAGCACTGGCGTGGCCTCTCTTCCCCTGGCACAGTTTTTGGGAACACTGAGATGGTTGTGAAGGCCTCAGAGGTGCCCAAAGCCCGACTCATAGACAAAGACCCCACTTGACCACAGGGGTGTGAGGGGTGTGATGGAGCTGCCCGTGCCCATGGACAATGTGGGGTTTCTCCAAGAGCTGCATCGTAGCCTGGAGCATCCCAGGGAGCATCCTGGAGCTGCTGCAGGAGTGGGGGACACCAGAGTGACCCAGCCCCTCTCTCTGTGCCCAGCTCAGAAGTGATGCTGAGGGAAACCCACCCTGTGCCCCCCAGCCCCAAGGAGGAGCCCGTGCTCTCCACAGCCATTCCAGGGAATTTCATGGATTCTGGGGCACATCTGGACTCGCTGGAGGAAACAGCTGGTTCAGGTACCACCTGTTCTTGTAGGGTGGGTCAGTGAGGTGGTGGGCACGGCACTGGCAATGCCTTAAAATCTATAAATGTCTGAGTTTAACAAGATTACAACTTAGAAATTAGGAAGCTTCAGGTGGAAATGTGGAAAAGGACAAGAACACCTTTGATTATATAGATTTTAGTACAGCACTTTTAGCATTTCTTGTCCATCACCTTTGTACAAGGTTTCTGAAAATGCTGTTTAATGTTTCTTGTCAGGAATTCCAAGGGATAAAGTTTGTAGCAGGTAAAGAAAATTTTATCTGTAGAAAATACAGAATAACACTCAGAATGTAGAAAATACTCAGAACAAAGACATAACAGACACACTACTGGATATAACCAAGGCAAAACTACTTGGGAATAGTTTTCTCACAAGTTCAAGTCCTTGAAGCTGTTCCAAGGAGAAGATGATGAAGAGGAGGATGGGGATGAAGGGGTGATCGTTTTGGGACCACCGACTCAAACTGGAGAGATGTGGTGAGGGTGGGGTTGTGGGG